AGAGAGAGAGAGAGAGAGAGAGAGAGAGAGAGAGAGAGAGAGAGAGAGAGAGAGAGAGAGAGAGAGAGAGAGAGAGAGAGATGGCATGCAGACAACAAGCAAAACGGTATTGAGTGGAAGCATGTGACTCACTCAATCGGGCGCTGAACGTGTGGGACGTTGAATATGTCCACGTTCAGACACATCTGTTTGCACTTGCAAATGCAATGCAGGTGTGTCGTTTCAACCTGCGGCCAAGACCGCGCCCTTTCCGATTCAGACTTTTCCACTTTTCCACCCTGCCGCTGCTTTGCCACCGTTTCGACCGAAACCCAGCGCGCGGTCCCATGGGCAGCTACCCGTCCCGCATTTTTCAAAGAAAATGCCACCACCTCCCAAAGTTCCACCCTGCCGCTGCTTTGCCACCGTTTGGACCAAAACCCAGCGCGCGATCGCACTGGCAGCTACCGGTCCCGCATTTTTCAAACTGATCTGTCACAGCCATAAAACCCACTATACAACCCCACGCAGTTGGTCACTGTGCACGCGCACGATCACACACACATACCAGCGTGCACGCACACACAAATGCAGAGAGAGAGAGAGAGAGAGAGAGACAGAGAGACAGAGAGACAGAGAGACCTGAGACAATAATTTCATTGTTTTCCAGCATTGGAGGCAACACTAGTTAATTATTTTACAAGCTATACTGGACGATTGGGTGCGGCAGTTACGCTTTCCCTCGCTTCAAATAGGACAATGGGTCCGCATGACAACTGACTGCAAACCAGAAGAGTTTTTCAAGTTCAGGGTTGAACAAGTGAATGAATTTGATAATGAGGTGCCGGTCTCGATCTGGTCTTGTTGCTCTGGGTATAAGGAGTTGGGAGCTCCGCTGCAGCAAAAGGATGTAGTATGTGCTCGAAAATAGTCTGTTGATTTGGTGTCTGTCCTGATGCTGCTGCAAAGGTCTAGAAGATGCCCTAGAAAATATCAGCCCTTCAGAGTGAGTACGCCATTACGGGATGTAACTTTTTATCCATCGCTTTGGTTTGCGACACCAAAAGGGATGCTAAGTGGCCTGCGGGCTTAGCTCAGCTGGTAAGGCACAAAAGTTGCATTCAGGAGGTCGTGGGTTCAACCCCATTGGCCTCACGTTCGTGCCTAGGCAAGCTTGGTGTTCTACCAGCTAGAGATAACCCGTTGGCTTGGCTCTCCAAGCCAGGATTGACAGGACCTTGGCCAAATATTGTTGGTTGCTATGCAGCAATGATATTTCGCCATTAGACACCGCTAATGTGGGGTTGAGTGGGGTACTAGTAGGGGGAGGTGCAAGTGACTGACAAAAAATGCTCCACACTAACATCGCCGGTTTCCCCCGTTGGCATGCCTGATCACCCTGCATCAGCGTGATGAGGGGCTGATACAAGCCTTGCTCTCACACCACTGCTGTGGTGCAAACCTACCTCATGGGCTGGGGAGA